TAGTTTTATTAGTTTTACTAATAACTGGAAAAATTAAGGTCGCTAGCTGACCAATAAAATTTAATATTGATTATTCGATAAAAGTTTTTTTTGTTTTTTTTTACAGCAACACTTGCAATAATAATTGTTAAAAACAATCAGATATTCTTAATCGTTCCTGTCATTAATAAGCTCTATCAACCGCTTTTCATTCAGCTGCAGTAACTTTATTTCATTATTTCCTATCGATAACGATTTCTGTTTGCTTGTCAGTTTATTTAATTTTTTAAAATTTTCGATCAACTCTAATCAAAATACTATCTGCACATAGCCCTCCCTAATTCGGAGCTTCAAAATACTATCTGCGCATAGCCCTCCCTAATTCGGAGCTGACAGACTAAAGAAAAAGCATCTAGTCAAAAGTATCCACCGTCAACTCTCTGATTACTCTTGTTTGACCAATTAGTAGGATTTGACCATTACTCTTATACTTCACCCACAGCCCTAAATTGTGGAGCTTGTCTTCGCTGTAACGGTAAGTGATTCATGAAACGTCTCACTCACAGTCCAGGCAAGATTATCACTCGGGCACTCCTGGTCCCCCTGTCTCTCACATTAATTAAAATTATTGATAAACCCCTATAACTTGATACCATCACATTATGTTGTGATTAATGATAATAATGTTATCAAGTTTCTAAAAACTTTAAAACTAAAACTTAAAAGTTTCTAGACGAAAACATAGCGAATGCAATATATTTAAGTGTCCAACCGTGCAGTAACTAGCGTTTGTTTAACACTTACTTAATGTGCACAAATAAACATACAGTTTTAACAATTGAATGGAATATGATCATATACTCAAAAGAATTGATAAGAGTGTTGTCGTGTATTGAAAAATTCTTAGTGTTTAATAGTGTCGGTGATTGTGCACTGACACATAACAGTATGTTGTTATATTCTGATAAACACTGAATATGTAACAACAGATTAGAATGTACTGACAAACACTCACTTTTGAACAATAACAATTATTTTCTTTTTGTATTTAAGTTTTAATTAATGTTCTTGATTTAGTGGTACAACAATTCCATTTTCTTTTTTTTTTGTTTATTCGTTGTCATCTCTGGATACAATTGTACGAGATTTTGTAATTTCTTTGGGTTGTTCTCAGATTCAAAGACACCATTGTTCCTAAACGCTGTCTATGTATCAGTGTTTAACCGTTTCCCGAGTGTGTATGAGCACAGAAGTTTCAAAATACGTATCTGTACACAATCCTACTGGATCTAAGTCACTACACTATAACCTACTGAATGTATATTTGTATATTCTGATCATTTATGTGGAATTTGGTAGTATTCTTCAACGCAAATAGTATAATAACAATATTCTAATATTACAATAAATGTTGGATTTTACACTCATTTAACTCTCAGCGAAGTAAAGATGAGTTTTGGATTGAGTTCATGTCCCAACTACCTACATGTAACTTTCTTTACTTTACTTGTATTTCTATATCTGATGAAACTATACGTTATGATTTTATCTCCAGTCTCGCCGTTAATAAGATAAAGCGATCGTAATTGTGCGTTTCTTATGTTACAATGAGTTGATTAAACTCGGAAAATAATTTCATAATGTAGCTAAAAATTGGTGTTTTAAGACTATTTAACTGTTAGTAGCTATTTCAAGTAAAGATACAAGTTGAGATTCCAACAAACGAAAAAACTTGTCTTTTAAAAACATTCGATCTAGCTGTGATTTTTTAATGCTTCATTAAATTATTGTAAAACAATACATCAAGCTGGCTATATTTATAAAGTTTATGCGGAGGTACGCATTTTAAGCGTCTTTGATACTTGCACGTCAACAGATTTAACTGTTTGAAATGTAACGCAAAATACATATTTGCTCTACCTGAAGCTACCTAGGATAAATTTATTTTGAATTACTTTTATTACGGTGCAGAAATTAATTTTTTTCGCAACGTTCAGACATTACTCATCCAACCGGAAGTTTGTTTAATAAAATGAAGATTGTTTGAAGGTAAGCGTTGTGCTCTGCCCACCACGGGCGTTGTAAGTCCGCAGACATACCGCTGTGCTAGTGTGGGGCAGAAAATAAAGAAGAAATTAACTGAAAGAGTTTAGTTTTTACACAGCTTTGAGAAGTGAGCTTCAACCTATTGGTACTGAAAGGATAAACTATTCTGATTGCATGTTAGTTTTGTGTCATTCGAAAACTAAAGTTTACACGTTCAGAAAGTCGCAAGATATATTATGAAATAATGTGTAAGTTTACCAGTTCGAGTGGTGTGAAAATAAATAGTGTTTAGTACGAACTCATCTAAGAACAGATAGATAATTTGTCTCAATATTGTATATACTGACAAGTGTGTCTACTGACACGTTTCTTTGGGTTACAATAACGAAGGGAACTTATCTTAATATCTAAAACTAAAAAAAAGTATATCTTCTTTGTTTCTTTCTGTTTTATATTTATTAGACATACCTTTCAGGTCATTTGACATATTAGGTTTTTATCAGAAATATTTAACAAAGTACGATATTAGTCGTCCTCACTTTAACGGCAATTAAAGGTTCGTTTAGATTTTGATCAAATACAATTTTTATGTTATAGAAGATGCAACTGAAAAGTAGAGGCAAACATTCTTAGAGCATAGAAACAAAATTGTATAATTCAAATGTCTTCCAGGTTAAGCTGAAAGACAGTCTAAGAATGAAACGTATATACTTTATACACAGTAGAAAGGATGAATTTCAGCTTGTCATAACTCGAAATGATTGTTAAACTGACTTGGGTTATACGTACATATACATCGTAGTCTGAAGCGATTTTGTTAGGGAAAGTTATTTCATACACACGTGTTCATATAGCTTCCCTTCACTATCGCGGTTACAACTAGTTTTTAGGACCATTTTCTCTCTTGTACGGGGGAAAGACACGAGAAAATTGATGTTAATTATTAGTATCATTTGCTATTCCCCTCACACACACATCCTCGCTGTTATAGAGAAGACTCCTATCCCCTCGGTTCATACAGTGTATGAAGGGATGCAGCACAGTCATCTAATAAAAACATATGGATGTTTTAATTTATGGCACGAATTCTGTGCCCCATTCATGTCCGTTCTGTCACAGAAAGGGAAGTACAGATGACCTCACGTTTGAAATAACAGTGAATAACTATCTAACCAACCATTACAGTTTACTTAAGTGGTGTAAAGTGGTATTAGTCAAGAATTAAATATTTACCTCATAATTAAACCATTATAGGCTCGCTATGATAATTTCTTTTTATTTTATTCTTGTTTTATTATCTCAATTATATAATTCATTACTTATATTGCTAGGATGCATTTTTTTTATTCTATAAATGTTTCATAGTTGAAACGTATTTTACACGTTTTCAAATCTAAACAGTCATTTTCATAATTTTTCCAAATTATTAATGAGTTGCTCAACTCCTGCAAATAGCTTCAAGCATTATTCAGTACGATAAGTCATAAACTGTTACAAGAATAATGAAAATTTCGTTTAACTAACTTTATTAATCAACAGAATCCAGACCTTCTACTGCGAACAAATCATATTTGTAACATGACTTTTATTGAAATTATCCTAGACTATTTGGTTTGGTCCCTACCAGTACTATTTAGTGTACTATTCAGTTGATTTGTTAAACATCTTGGGGATATCTTCTACATAGTTTCGTTTTTGTTTATTTGTTGTTGTTTTTTTCTTTTAGAATCACTTTTTAAAACTGGATGAAAGCATAAGGCAGCTGTTGATGAAAGCTTTGTTTTTATCTGTTTAACTATACTACAACTTTATTTGGTAGTAAAATATATATCTGTTATACTTGTCTCTTAAGTATATTATCATAGATAAAAATAGTGTTGAAAAACAACAACAATCGTTCAATATTTTAAACGAGTTTGTCTGAAAAAAAAATAAAGATTCGATACTCTACGAATGAAATTAGCTTACCATTAGTTTAAAAATGAGCCGTACCTTCGCATTTATATTTCAAAAGAAACAAATAGGAGTTTTTATTGTTGTTTTCATATGTATGGAAATACATAAAAAAACAGCTGAATGTGATCATTTTGTTCCTTAAATAAGTATGTCAAACAGTGAAAAACAGGGTGGTATTATTGACAATCCAACATAACACTTTTTATAGTAACCTCTCCCATTCCCCGGTAGAACAGTAGTAAGTTTACGAACTTACAAAGCAAAAATATCTGGGGTTCGATTCTTAGCGGTGGATGCAGCAGATAGCCAAATGTGGCTTTGATCTGTTTTTATCTATATATATAAATTAATGCATAAATCCACGTCAATAAGGAACTATCTGAATTAAATGTCATCATATAAAAAACATCAACACTCACTACATATACAGTATTCGAGAGTTTTAAATAATGAAGTGCATTCATAAATTTAAGCATCGATACAAGTATTTAAGTAGCTAATTAATATACAGTAAACAATGTCCCATTTTTCATGACTTTATTTGTAGATAAGTTAATATGATATTCCTTTTTTATTACATTTTCGGTTCTCTGTAATTTTTGATCGACCCTTGGACGGTTAATAGACTTAACTCCTTATAACTATTTGTAGAAAAAATATCTTAACATACCTTAATATGGAGACATATTTGCGTTTACATTTGCGGGCGACATATGGATACTGCCCATTAACCTTGAACTAAATAACATATATTTCACCACTATCATTCTTACTGCTGATATTACTGTTGTAACGAACGGTTTTCATATCGTCCGTTCACTTTGAATATGTAACACATATCACAAGAAAATGTTACGAAGATGCGTATAAACTTTTATAATTATTAGAACTGAATGACTAAGCGTTGTATTTCTCTCTTTATCAAAACCATAGTTTGGAAAATTCGCAAAATATTAAACTTTAAAGCTAATTTTTCAGACTTAAAGTGATAAACTCAACATAAGACACAACATACATACCTCCACCATTCTTGTAACACAAGTACGGGAATCTCCAAACATTTCCCAGGCCAATGGCGTACCCCACACAAGACATAAGAAAATCAAGTTTTCCAACCCAGTGACCTCTCTCTGGTAAGTCATCATCCAGAGATTTGACAGGAGCAACAGTATTAACATCCGAAGATTTATCTGTAGATTGGAGGGATCCTCCGTTTACTGGATAGCTGTTCATTTCAGTATTGAATTTATCTTTTTCATAATCGGTCATCTTGTTCCAACTATCTAAACACCGATCACCTTAGTGGACACGTTGCTTCAGATATGTGATGTCGTTTTTCACAACCTGAGCCCTAACTGATAATCTCGGACTAATTCTCAATTGACGACGTTTTAAGTAGAACAACGTGATTACGAACCCGCCTCAAAAACGTGGATTTGATTTTCGAGAGAAAAATGTTAATTATTAATATAATGTGACTAGTGTATAAGATTTAGGGACAACAGATTTTACGAGAAGAATTACTGTTTTTAAATGGCCTCTCCCTGGATTTTGTGAATTTTATTTAGTAAACATAGATTCAACAGAACGAACCTGCAAAACTTTGCGAAACAAGACGTGATTCCTAGAAAGTAGAACTTTAAAATGTATTTTGATGTTCTAAATGATATAAAGACATACTTTCAGATATGGAACTTTAAACAGGGAAAATCACATAAGAATAAAAATAACCAGGTTTTAAGTTTGGTTCCATAGAAAGATATTAAAACTGCCAATGCAATGATATTACTAAAATCTACCAACCGACTCAATGACACAGCCCAGCCTATTACGCTGTCAGCGACCCTTTAAGTATCTCCAGTAAAGCCTCTGTAACTCTTGTATAATCGCTACTTTAGTTCTGTCAATAAACGTGCGCTCCTTCTGTGCATGCGCTGTGCCTTTAGTTAATATTCTTGTAGTTTTATATGTTTTTTCTAAGTACGTTCGCCAACATGATAGTATTGATAACTTTTAATGTTCTACGCTTAAAAATACATTGTACACTTAGAAAGATTGTTTGCAATTTTATTCATTTGTATTTTAAATACTATTTGATCATTAAAGAAGTTTATTCTGCTTGCAACAGATACGCTTTATTTATTCAAAAATTTATGTTAAATATTGCAGGAATCACTGAACCCTCACGTTTAGTTACCTTCAAGATAGTAGAAACTTCTTGTTATTTCAGTTGCTATATGTTTCAATCAGTTGTTGATATATAAATAAGAATTTTTTTAGCAGATGAAAATGATAGCATTTCAACCTTGGGCAGGAAAAATGTATCCTGAGAATTGCTTTTCAATAACGAATAAAATAAAGTAAAACAATATAATTCAAAACTTTGACTATCAAAAAAAGTCATAAGCAAAAAGAAATATTATAATGATTGGGTTGATGATATATTTCTTTAAAAACAACTAAAATAAGTACCATCTACTTGTCAGTCTAGCGTATATTAGTTAATTTTAGAAAATAAGAATGATAAATCCATTAACATCAGACCAGTAATGCGACAGAAGTACATGAAATTCTTTCTAGTATGCCGAAGGGTGAATGGTGTAAATCTAATCACAATTTATTTATTTTTGATTTCTTGCTCAATAATATACTGTACTCAATTTAGCAAATAGATTCCTATGAGGAAGAGTGTAGAATTTAACAGAATGAAAACTATAGTAAAACCCTGTACCACAAATCATATTTCTTGCGTTTGTTTGTGGTTTAGCACCAAGCTGCACAATAGGCTATCGGTGCTTTGCCCAACATAAGTATCAAAACCCAGTTTCTAGCGTCGTAAATCCGTAGACATTAACAATAAAAGCAGCTCAATTTTCGAAAATAGCCGTTTCAAAGATAACTAGATATTTCGTTATGAACTTGCATTACAATGATTATACATACATATTGTGAAAATGAGATACAGTCAAAATATATGAACGGCAAAGAGAAATTTACAGTTTTACACTCTTCGATAAGATTAAATGCACACTTAACAAATAAGCAAAAGTATTTGAGTATCATAACTGCCTTTAAGAAGAGATTAATGAATATATATGGGTATTACAACTGTCTTAAAAGCAGTAATAAAATATTGCTGTAGGCTATGTTGTTGTTTTAATGTATACATTTGTACTGATATTTGGCAAGAGGGAGATTTGGTGTAGCATGATGCCGATAGCTTCACATCTGAAATTTTCTCTGAAGATTTATAACAGTTTGAGAAATACGAAATGCAAGTTAGGCTAGATTAGATTATTATTGATTATTGACTCTACTAGAGTTAAACTTGAGTAGTGGGATGTTATTTGATCACTTCATTAGTTCAGTGCTATGATTATTGGTTTGTATTTCGAATAAATAATAAGAAATGTAGTAAAATCTACTCTAAACTTTGGTTTATCAGTGAACAGCTGTTAAGACAATTTGAAGAAAATAAAATGCTTTCATTATCATTCAGTGGACTGTGCTTTGCTTTCTTCTTTTTACTGAATAATCCAAAAACACTGTCCAATAGCAGAAACAATTGCAAAATTGTTATCAGGAATGGGATTATCTTGAGAAAAATAAAATAGAATTAAGATTGTGCTTCAAAATGATGACGCAGATGATCAAGAAGAAAGAGACAGGAATTTAAGGGAGAAGTTACAAGAACAAGACCTGAGAGTAATGCATTATATATATATTACATTCTAGACAAGTATAAGGAAATCATAGAAAACGTAAAGAAAACATTATAAAAAACTTAAAAGTGGAAAAGAATATCAATGAAGTACAAAAGCATTACAGAAATTTGAGTATGATGTATTAAAACGATTTTAAATATTGAAATCAGCAAGTCATATCACAAACACAGTCGATATAAAATGTTAATGGAATTGAACGTATCTGATATACATTTGGACATAATTTGCATTTTATAGGCTAGTATTTGAACACGTTCAGTACTTGGTGAGACTTCATTATTACAAAATTGACGAAAACAGATACAATTATACATTTCACAAATATTTCATTTATTACGATCAGGTTTCGCCTATAAAGGCAAAGATTTCCTATATTCTGTAATTTTGTATGTTGTATGGTGTCACCAAAAACTGATCATTTTTAGGAAGAGTATGTAACAACCCTTTCTGGTGCAAAATATTCATACACTCAAGGTATAAAGATGTGATCAGATTGAAGATTTAGAATTTTCAAGATAGAGATATCCCTTGTATTTTATGGAAATCAAAAGACTTGGATCATCTTGGGTTCCAGGACCATCTATAAAAATACCTGCAATAAATTATACTCCAGCCATCGTAAGATGCGTTTGGCATTTAGTAACAAACAAGAATCTAAAATAAAAATAAAAAAGGACCAGTGGCAAAATCCACCACCCACACGCTGCAGGCAACAATACACAACATAATGAAGAATTATATTCGTCTGAAAAAACAACACAACTTACTGCCACGATATATCCAGGAAATGAAAATTAACTGTACCGAACTATATAGATAGTACCTAGCCATAGAAAAATGGGAATATTTGGTGATACTTAACATGTGTACCTTGATAACTGTAACAAGACTCGTGTCATTTTCTACTGGTCAATATGTGGATATAATTTCTAAAAGTGTTACACAGCATGTTGAGAAACTGTCTCTAAGGGATTCGTGATTATAATTGGATACTGTGTAAAGGGAAAATTAGGTATTAAGAGACTAGATACAAAGCTCACGCTCAGACCAATATCCTGTAAAATTGGTACCACACAGAAATATTTGCTTTGTATGAAAATGAGGTCAATAGGGTATGGGTTCACCAATATTAGACTTTGAGTTATAGTTCCCGTTCAATCATCGCATGCCTCAAGAATGGAACGGGTATTGATTTTATTCCTTATGAAGACCTATTAGTCAAGTCACCGGGGCCGAGTGCCAATGGGTGTCTCTGTGATCAGACTGTTGAAATTGGTGCTGGTAAGTTATTGTCGTCATACACTAGATGGGTTTTTGAAAGACTGCAGGGAGGAGTGGTGTGGTTCACACATGAAAGCCTTATGTAGAAGCCTTTCGCAATGACACCACATTGCAGATTTATTATCAAGGTGCATGGTTGTCAGATAGGCATAACCAGACATAGATTGTAATGATGTGATGAGGTTCCAAATGTGTTTTAATTTAATATAGTCAACAACTATATAGATAATAAAAATGAAGAACTACAAAAGGGCATAAATGTAGTACAAAATTCATACCATACAAAATAACATTATTTCTAGGAGTAAGTTATTAGAAACTAAACTGGCATGTGCAAGGATCAAACTAGACACACTTCTGTCTGCATCTTCTCAAACTTTTCAACCTGAAAACCATTCAGTAGTAGAACTCGTCTGGTATATAGCTTTTAACATTGTTGATTGCTGCATGTAACTGCAGGACCTTCTTGGACTACCCCGGTTACATCATTACCTCATCAAGCTATGGAATACAGTAGGCCAGTTCAACAACATCATCCAGCCATAGAACAACGGGAAAAGTATCATGGAAGGCATGTTGGGTGTATTTCGAAATAATTTCTAACACGAATGGAAGAAATAGTAAACAGAAATATATTGATTTCTTATTGTCATTGCTAGTAGCCTGTGCGATTACTAAGCCTACTAACTAATTTTTATTCGCGTTTTAGCTGCTAATCTGTTGCCGTTTTCTAAAAAGTCCTGAGAAGTACTATTTCTGTGTTGGAGTGACCAGAAACTGATCCTTGGTGATCTTGATGGAAGCCTGCTGTGCTATACATTCGATTGGGATCTTACCCATTAGAAGTTTAATCAACAAACTAATGGAATATGTTAAAAGTAGTGTTCAGGTTTTCCTGACTTCAAGGTTGACTGAGTGTGTTATCAGTTAAGTGAGTCCAGAAGGCATCTTTTATCTTTTTTCTCATTTTTAGCTCATATCTTATTATTTTAATATCATTCCAGTTTATTATATAGTTTTCTGTGGCAGAATGAGCTATTGCAGACAGATCGGCGTTACTAAATCTTATATGATGTCACGTTTATTATATATTTTTTTCCTATTTTCATTGTGAGTCGTGTCAGTGGATGTTGTCTGTTGAGATTATTCGAAAATTCGTGAATCTTGTCCGTAATGTGTTGTCATATTATGGATGTATCATCAACATATCTTAGCCAACTTTGGTGGCATATAGTGACTGTTTTAAAGGTACTGACATCAAAATGTTTCAACAGAATATTAAAGTATACGACATACTTTTTGTAGGGAGAGCGAATTAGATAAGCTAACTTGTAGAATTTGTATTCGACAATATAAAACATGCGGTCTGGACTTCGCATTCGTTTCTAAACCGAATAAACCAAAAAGAACCTACCAAACTAAAGAAATCTTTACAACAATATAGTTTTGGTATTATAACTATACTTGGAGAAGAGTAAATATATGTCGCCAAAAGTGGGTAAGATATAATTTGATACTTTAATCTATACAAAACAAGAAATCGTATACTTGGAAATTATCACCATTAAAGGCAGCAGTTACTCTTAAAGAGGATGAGGCTAATAGATGTAAAGTATACATACTATGTATATACATATATATACGGAAAAACCAAGTATTCTTAAGAATTGATATTTGGTATGGTTTGAACGTAGATGACACCTAGTGAAACACACGTGCTAAACGACCGGGTTAAAGCCCAAGGATTCAGGTGTGACAACACCTTACTTAGAATTGCTGCCAAGGAAGAATAATCAGTTTGCAGCACGCACTTTACAGACTATTCTTTATACCGAACAGCAAGTTTAGG